CGAATCCGGCTGAAAATTGAAGGGACGTACTGTATACGCGCAGCCAGCGGGGAATTTCCCGGCGGCGACGCGGCGGAGGATGGAGAAGAGGAGGGCGGCGAGAGATTCGCACGAGTGAAGCGTGTAAGGAGTTGGCACGCGTTGAGGCACTTATCTTCGGACGTGCGGCTCACACGCACTACACCTTTTCTTCTTTTCTTTTTTTTTGGTTTCTATTTTATTTATCGTTATTATTATTATTTATTTATTTATTTATTTATTTGTATTTGATTGATTTGAAAAATCATTGGTCCATTACATTTACAGCATTTTGAGATTAAAAATAATTTCATGTAAGATGAACATGTAATGAGATTAAAATAATGGATAAGTAGAAAATATAAGAGTAGGTAATAAATAAATTTATTACAAATTTTAATAATTGAATTTTATTTATAATTATATTAGTAAAATCAAGATGAGAAAAGTTTCTAAAAATAGTATACCCATCAAGAATTTTTTTTTTATTTCCACTCACACACTTAGCTGATTGCTAGGGTGTAAATGAATCGAATTGAGATCGAGCTCATAGTGTTTGAGCTCGAGTCTTTAATAAGTCGAACTCAGCTCGATTCGTTAACTAAAAGAGTCAGTAATTGAGCTCGAGCTCGGCTCCTTAAACTGATCAAGTTTTAAACGAGTTCGAGCTCGACTAGTATATTAAACGAGTCGAACCTGAATGAGCCGAGCTTACGAGCGACACATTTTGTATAACAAGTTGTCTATCTTTCGGTCTTGTGAAATGTTGACAAACGAATTTGATCAACGAGTTAACTGTAGTTACGTGGATTTAGCTATACTTTGTTAGGATAGATGTGGGCATTTGTGATGGAGAAATCGAAATGGGGATGACATAAAAAATAATGTAAAGATGCAGTGGAATAGTTATAGTTCAGGTCAGTCAACACTGATTCTGCACAGTTTGATATTTTACTTAGTGCTTATTGTGAGAATCTTTATCTCATTCTTTTTATCATTTTCTTTAACCCCTTTTCAAGTCTAATACAAGGGTATATATAGTATTGTAGCACGGAAACTGTTCATCAAGTCCTACAATGTGCATTTAATTAATTGGACTAACGCATTTAATGCGTCGTGCTACCCTATGAGTCTAAGATTTGCAGGCTAACATATTAGACGACAGAGATGTACTTTCATCATTAGGCTGCAAGTGACCTTTATTTTATTGCCTTCTACTCGGCCTATTAGTCCAACTTCGGGTTAAAGTCCTTGTCGAATTTTACCTCGTTGTCTCTTTAGCCACGGTTCTCTTCTGTCGGATGACCGGTCTGAGAATCCACTCGGTTCATTAGGTGCGAACTATCTTAATTTTTCTTGCTTTCGTTTGTTTGGATTGTTGTATCTTAGACTTTCTCCACTTAACTCAAATATGCAAATTAGATCACAAAATAAGACGAGATGAATGTTGTAACACCCATAATATTATTTACTATTTATGGAG